TTGTAGGCTTAAGATGAAGTAGAAAAGATGCAATAGCCATTTGTGTTGTTAACGGAGAATGGGTGGGGAATCACGGGAGGAGGCTGGTGGCGGTTTAACACGGCTGTCCTGTGCAGACGGGGGAATGTGGACAGAGGACAGGTGGGCGGGCAGAGGGCTTTGCCAGATCTGAATACCAGGCATGCCTAGTGGTATTAATCCAAACTGCTCTGCTAATTCTAAAAGTACTCAATGTTAAAAAAAATAAATTAACAAAAATGAAAGTACTTGTTTATAGAGACTGATTTTGATGAATCCTCTGCTAGGTTTGCCAAACAGATGGGATGTCAGGTCATAGGCTGTGGATGATGGAAAGTATTGACTGAAAGAGCAGTCAGGTGCTGAACGGGCTCGGGGGTCGGTAAGGGAGGAAGTGAAGGTCAGAAGGGGCTGCATGTGTGTAGAGAAAGCAGATGTAGGAAATGTGAGTGCAAGAGAGCTAAAGCGCTCAGCAGAGGAAGGATATATATTAGTTTACAATTTCAGAAAGAGCAGTTCCACAGCAATTCTCACAGCAGTAGGGCAATGGATGTGGATGCCTGGAAGTGAAGATGTTGAAGACAAAGAGGTTAGGAGACTTCAGGCCAGGAGTGTTGGGTGGGCTGTCCACAGTCAATGTTTGAAGGAATATGGCGGACTTGAGTGGGGAGGTAGAACTGCAGGCTACAAGTCTCCAAGAGGTGTGGAGGTGGGATCAGGAGTATGTGCAGGAGTTAATGGGGGAAGGGGGGGAAGTCAGAGGGAAGGAGTGGGGACCGCTCCCTTAGAGAGGAAGCCTATCAGTGTGGTTAATACGTGGGTTCTGGAGCTAGACTCCAGGGGTTCGGAATGCTGGTTCTGTTACTCATTAGCCACGAAACTTTGGGTAAGTTATTTGACCCCTCAGCAGAGGTACAGATTCTGGAATCAGAAGTGTGATAACTAAAGTATGGGAATAAATGAGCTTCATGGAGAAGCATGTTAAGGGAGGAAAATAAAGTCCCCAGAGCAGACTAGAGGGGAATGTAGTTTCAGGTGGCACAGGGAGACATCAGGGAATGGGTGAAGAGGGCAAGAAGATCCACAAGAGAATGGAAAAGAGAAACACAGAAGGCTGAGATTGGAGTGGTATTTTAGGAGCTGAGCTTTTAGGATTCAGGCAGTTCCTTGTGAGTTCTGATGTCCTCCAACTCAGATTCTGAAGCTAGCTCTCAAACAAACTGCTGACTGCTCCAGGCATGCTTATCTCTTTTGAACAAGTCACTCCGAAGACCTGCAATCAGTATCCCACTTATAACCTAAATGGAACCTGTTCTCCCCTGCTCTTTCCCAGCTGCGTCCTTCAACATGGCCCCGGTGGCTCTAACTACGCGTTTAGCCCCAAGCATACATTGCCCTTTACGGGCAGTAAAGTAGCTATCTCTACAGTGGCCAAGGTAGGACTCTGAAACCATTGCTCCCTAGCTCTCCTTCCACCACAGAAACCAGCGAATGGCCACTCTTCCCAAGCGTAGAACAAAAAATTAAGACTTTAAATAGAATCTTCTCAAACAAACATTTCTGGAAAGTGGGGAGCCTTTGATGACAAAGCAATAAACAAACAAAAAATAACTAGTTGGGGAAAAATCAAATCTGCCCACGCTTGGTTTGCTAGCATTTTTGTGTATTTGAACGTGGGTGCTTCGAGAGCAATGCATTGGCTGTATGTTATTTACATTGAGATTTAAATCCAATGGGTTTTACCTTCACTTGAATCAAATTTATGCTGCCCTCTAGGGATTTTCTTCCTCTTTCTTTCCATCCAAAGCTTTGTGATTCAAAAAGAATGAGTGGAGAAGGGCTTTTGAAGGAGAGACTGATAGGATATTTTTAACCTTTTGTGCTTCAGCCAGGCCCTGTACCCACCCCTGGGACCAAAGGAGAAAAGGTATATTCACAGCTTTCAGCCTCTCCTTCTTTAAGCCCTGAGACAAAAGATGTGCCGACCAACCGTGGGCTATGCCATCACCACCACCCTGCCTCTTACTGAAGCTCTTTGGTCATCAAGTCCTGGAATGAAAAAGCCAGAAGGGGCAAACACATCCTCTAGCCCCCACTGAATAAGTTAGTGTCTGCCGCTGATTACCTTTTTGGAGATATCTAGAAATAAATACAGTCGATTCAGACAGCAGGGCAAAATTAATATTTCTCTTTATTGGATAGTCTCAAATTATGCTTGAAGAAGAAGAAATACAACTCAACGGCTGGAATGCAAACAGCCGAGCTTACTTTATTCAACACAATGTGTCCAAGGTATCCACGTATCAAACACTCAGCGAAGTAACAGGTATGGTACAGTGAACAAGACGGGTTGACTCAGCCCTCGAGGAGCTTACATTCTAATGCAGAAAGCAGACAACCACAAGTTGGAGAGATGCTAAACATGAACAAAGGAGGACACACGGTTTTTTAACAACCTGGGGTTTGGGGAAGCAAGCATCTCATCTACTCCATAGAAGGACTCCTTATGGAGGTAAAAGTAAGTGAATCTGAGGATGCTAGACATTAACTAAGTCAGTGGTTCTCACTGTGGTACTTTGGAAGTGGATGGGTTGTTGGCTTCATAATCGGTGAGAACTATTACTGGCACTGAGTGGAGGCAGCCAGGGAGAACGGATGTCCTGCAGTGGATGGGTTAGGCCCACACAACGAAGAATTATTCTGTACCCTATTCGCCTCTTTAATGTCCTGCTGGACATTTATGTAGGACCTACAGCTCGCTGGAGAGAATATCATTCATTTTTCCCTCTTAGACAATCTTTTTTTTTTTTTAAGATTTTATTTATTTGTTTGACAGAGAGAAACACAGCAAGAGAGGGAACACAAGCAGGGGGAGTGTGAGAGGGAGAAGCAGGCTTCCCGCGGAGCAGGGAGCCCGACGTGGGACTCGATACCGGGACCCTGGGATCATGACCTGAGCCAAAGGCAGACGCCCAACGACTGAGCCACCCAGGTGCCCCTCCCTCTTAGACAATCTGTTATCCTTATACCAGTTGCACTCTTTCCCTTACCACATACAGAGAAGGTATGTGGTCTGTTATGACTCACTCTAACATTGATTTTCATCCTCGAGTCACCCATACCTCTCATCTTTCATTTTCCTGTACTTCTTTATCAGAAGTAGCCTCGGAACGACTCTGAAATTCAAACCTATTCACTGTAAGTAGGAGTAAATATCTACTTCATGATGTCGGATAGATAGCACAGTCATGCCTGAGCATTTACATACTGAAAATCCTTTTAGTTTCATTACAGATTTCTTTCTTTCTGTTTTTCCATTTTAACAGAGTTGGGGTGTTAAATGGGTTTTTAAAGAAATTCTTGTATGTAAGTAGATTGTATCACCTCGGAGTGCTCTCAGGCCAACAAATGGGATGTGACAAAATGTGACTGCTTTGGAAAGGGTGAGTAGATCTGATAGGGTTTATGGTCGCCCTATAGCTGGGGGGAGGAGAGGGTGCTATTGGCACTTAGTATATGAGAGCCAAGTATGCCGAACATCTTGCAACATACTGGACAGTTCCTCACAATAAGAAACTATTCTGCACCCTACACGAATTTTGAATGTCTCACTAGACATTCCTGTATGACCTACAGCTCGTCTGCAAAAAATAGAATATTTCCTCATTTTCTCCATGTCGACAGTCTGTAGATTTTCTTGCATAGTATCTTTATTTCAATTAAGGCTATTTCGATATTTCTCTTGTAAGTACTATCATATTCAAAAAAGTTATGCATCACCAGTTTTTATTCTAAGGTCCACTCCTATCCCTGCTTTTTCATTTTCCCATACTTTGTATAAAGGCAATTTTGATCATCTACCTTCTTGTAAATTTGCCCATTATAAGTAGGTGTAAACATCTGATTACTTAAGTCTTCTAATATAGTCATGCCCAAGTAATGAAACTTTTATTTTCCTTTTATGCTAATGTTAATTTTAATTAATTTTAAATTTATTTCTGAAATCATGTGTAGGTAGAGTATATTACTATTGGATTGCACTTTAAGGATAATAAAGCAGATGTTACAATGTATTTGTCCAAAAAAAAAAAAAAAGGCAGGCATGCTCATTGAGAACCACTGAGCTAGGGGAAAAGGTGTACCAAAGAACTAAAAGTAAGCCAGAGTGGCTTGGGTAGAAGAAAATAAATGATAGAGGGCAGGGAAGGGAGAAATCATGTAGGGCCATAATAATGATTTTGACCTTTATTCTAAAGGCATGATCAGATTTGTGTTTTTAAAGATTATTACATAAAAAAAAATGTTAAAATATGACCATTCTTACTGCTAAGTAAAGAACAACTCAGAAGGGGCCAAAGAAATATTTAAGAAGGAAAACTAGACTTGGGAACAGCTTGGAAGAAGGACAGCAAGAAGTCAAGGATGACTTCTGGACACAGAATACTCGGGGAGAAGGTAATTCGTTTGAAGGAGGCAGATTGAGAATTCCACTGGGGACATGTTGCTTTAGAGGTGTCTGTGAAATGTCCAAGTAGAGATGCCTAATGGGCAATCAGATTTGGACAAACTGCATCTCTGAAAATGTGAGAACCAAGATCAGGAAACGAAAGCTCCAAAACATACTACCATAAAAAAAAAAAAGCGAGTAACTATTTGTGACAAGCCTACCAGAAAATAACCCTGCCCTAAAAAATCTCTATACATTTGTTACTGGTGGAGTCCTTTAAACCAAGGGGTTGTGGAGATGTTTGTACTGATCTACAATCTGACTAACATAAAATCAACTCTAGTGCTAATTAACTTTTATAATATGTCTGCTGGCAGGAGTTATAACAGGAAACTGGTGAATGGTACAGAATGCTGAAAATTAAAACTGGAAGGAAAAATCTGATTCGTGATAAGGAAAGAAATCTTGGTCCAGGAACCTCATCTGCTTTAAAAGCTGATTGTACTTCAATTCCATACAGTCCGTTATATTTAGGAAAAAAAAAAAAAAAAGAAGCCCCTTGCAGGTGTAAGACCTGTTTGAGGCATTGTTCTCTTTGTTCTGGTTCCGTGTTCACCAAGAAACAAATCTCGCCTCCTTAAGGGGCCTATCCTTCAGTAGGGATGGCCTTGCTCCTAATTCCTCGGTGATCCTCATCTGTTACAGCGAACAACTACACTAGCACAGGTTTATCAGTCATGCTTCTGTGAGTCTGGTTACTACAACTCAGACCCCCCACAATACAGACACTTCCTGAAAGTCCAACCTGAAAACCTTCTCTATAATCATATATAGGAATATAAATGTCTACTCTGCCATAATTATATAAAGAACCCAAATGGGCAGTTAACTCCAGTTGGCTGCTTCTCTCTGAGCCCCAGTTTGTGGCTCTTTTCATTGCATTCCAGAGAACGAGCCTGGATGGGGTCCCCTAAATAAACGTTAGATATAAAGAAATGTGTGCCCCAACTCAGTTTTACCACGAAGGTACGGTACAGTTACATCTGTAATGGCATTTAAATTACCTTTTCTCTCCTCCCCACCGCCACCGCATTTCCTAACCGCCCCCCACAACCTTCCATAATCTTCTATCCAAGGCGGTACGGTCTTATGTCCTTACTTCCATAGGCATTTTTAGATTTCTCTCAAATTGCCCAAATTAATTTTCTTTCAATTTAACCAAGATTTAACCATGTCATACAGTAAACGAAGAGTAGCTGGGCGAGAAACTTGTTGGCAGTTACAGATGTTTTAGAAATCCGTCTTTCTCAGTTATATCTAAGACAGTGGTTCCCAAACTCCATGACACATTTGAATCCTTGGGATTTAAAAAAAGTACCACTGCCCAGCTCTCACACCAGAAACAGTGATTTAGTTGGCACGGGGTGCGATCTGAACATTGGACTTGTTAAAAAGCTTCCCAGACGATTCAGATGTGTAGCAAAGTTTGGGAACCACTGATCTAAGGCATTTGATAACTAGATGAGAAATGTAAAAATGTATTATCTGGGGCAATCTGGCTCAGTAAGTGAAGAGAAGGGTGATGGCCTCCTTTATGACTCTGTATTCATCACTCCTAACTGATCACGCAGGGTTTGTCTAGTTCAGTATATTCAATCACATATTCTGGGTAAATCTGATTTTTCTCGAAGATGACAAAAACGGAGGGATTCAACCTTATATCCACATAGCTGTCATATGGTGGTGGGGGAGGGCTGGTGCTTCCCATCTCTCCTTGCGTAAAATTTCCAACCAGGACTCGAGCTACAAACATAACGATGTTTTTGGTATCACCCTGGCAATTTTTATGGGAATGGATGGCATCTTTTGTGAAGTAAATTCCTAGAAATCATCAGAAAAAGAGAAAGGGTAAAGAATTATTATGAAAGAAGGCACGTAGTTTGTAAGATTATTTACATACCATCAGATGATAAGCATCCCCTAAGCATGTGTCATCAACACCTTACTGATACTGATAAACTTTCCTTTGCACTGAAAAAAATGTTTCTTGGAATCCAGTATATAACCCTACTGAACTAACAGAAACACTTGCTACTGTGCAGTGGCCCCCAGGGATGGTGTGAGCCACCCAGGACAGTAACCAAGTGGTGATATCACAGCAGCCCAACTCATGCAAATCCTGCAGGGTGAGCTGAATTGTAACTTGATGAACCAACGATACTCCAGCAGAGGCCTTTTTCTAATGTGTACATTTTAAGGAACAAAGGTCATTTACTACAGATGGAAAGGTCCTAGAAAATGTGAAAGAGAGGGGCATAGCACAGGCAAGCAACTGACCCTGGTAGACCTTTCCAAAACAGTTCATCTACCGTCCTCCTCAACCGTAAAGCAACTTCCGCATCACTCAGGTCTCTTTTTTTTTACACTTTATTTGAGAGAGAGAGAGAGAGCGCGCCCATGCGTGTGTGCGGCAGGGGAGGGGCAGAGGGAGGGAAAGAATCCCAAGCAGGACTCCACTCTCAGTGCGGAGCCTGAGGCAGGGCTTCATCTCACAATCCCAAGATCATGACCTGAGCTTAAATCAAGAGACCGAGGCTTCACCAACTGAGCCATCCAGGCACCCCTGCATCACTGAGGTTTCTATACACAGCAGATCAACAGTGATCTCCTGACAAATTAAAATTTCCTATTTTAATTTTTGTCATTGCCAGATACTTTTCTCTTTTCTCTCTTTTTTTAAGATTTTATTTATTTGAGAGAGACAGCATGGGGTCGGGGCGTGTATGCAGAGGGAAAGGGAGAAGCAGACTCCCGCTGAATGGGGAGCCTGACACGAGGCTCTATCCCCAGACCCTGAGATCATGACCCGAGTGGAAGTTAGCTGCTTAACTGACTGAGCAGCCCAGTGCCCCAGTTTTCTCTGTCTTTTTAAAAGAAATGTGGGGGTGCCTGGGTGGCTCAGTCAGTTAAGCATCTGACTCTTGATCAGGCTCATGATCTCAAGATCATGGGACTGAGCCCCATGTCGGGCTCAGTGCTCAGTGGGGAGTCCGGTTGAGATTCTTTCTCCCTCTCCCTTTGCCCCTCCCCCACTGCTCACACTAAATAAAATTTTTTTAAAAATTAAAAAATAAATGCGTATATATATTTGAAAATTCTGATTTTGTATGCAGAAGTTAATTAGTAAAATGAATTCATTTTATTTATGGTAACAAGTGCTTAATATTTTTTCATTTATCGTATTTATTTTTTATTACTTATTTTTTTTTATAATTTAGGTGTTTGAATTCCAGAAATACTACTCATCCTGAATAGGTCAGATAATGGATATTCTGAGTAAATGATGTTCAACTATATTTAGAATAAGAAATGAAAGTCCACCTATACTGACCTACCATTTCCCGACCCACTGTCCCTCCCAAACACAGTCACTGACTTGATGGGGACTCTCTCACCTATTTCTAGGCATTTACATACATATATAACACATTTACTCTGGTACAGTTTGATGTTCTTCTATTCATTAAGAAGATTACACTGAATGAACTGTTCTGCATTTTTTTACACTCTAGTCCTAGGAATTTTGCTGTCACCCCATTTAACCCCACCTCATTCTTTTTAGTGGCTGCACAGGATTCCATTGTATGGATGTATCATAATTTAACTACTCTCGTATTGATTAAGATGTAGGTGGCTTTTATTTTTTTTCTATTACCAAGAACGCGTCTAAATAAATACTTTTAAAACATCCGAGTAAATATACCTTTGAGAGCCTGTGTAAGTATTTCTATAGAACAGATTGCAAAACTATAATGGCTGAGTCAAAGGACATGAGCATATTACATTTTGACAGATAATACAAACTGCCCTCCAGAAGCAGTCTAAAGATTTTACCAGCAATGGAGAAAGTCCCATTTCTCCAAACCTTGCCAACATTGGATATCAACTATCCTTTTAATTTTTGTCAATATAAAGTGCAAAAAAAATCTGATTTTATTTTATTTTATTTTATTTTTTTAAGATTTTATTTATTTGACAGAGAGAGACACAGCGAGAGAGGGAACACAAGCAGGGGGAGTGGGAGAGGGAGAAGCAGGCTTCCCGCGGAGCAGGGAGCCCGATGCGGGGCTCGATCCCAGGACCCTGGGATCACGACCTGAGCCGAAGGCAGACGCTTAACGACTGAGCCACCCAGGCGCCCCAAAAAATCTGATTTTAATATCCATTTCTTTTAATACTAGCGGCATTAAGCATCTTCTCATATGCTTATTGGCATATTTTGTATGCTCTTTCTTGGAACTGCTTTTCCATATCTTTTTTTCCTGTTGTATTTGTGTCTTTCTTTTTTTACTGATGTGTGACCAAAACAAGCTTATATTTAAAAGACAGTATCCAGGCTGCCTGGGTGGCTCAGTTGGTTAAGCGACTGCCTTCGGCTCAGGTCATGATCCTGGAGTCCCAGAATCGAATCCTGCATCGGGCTCCCTGCTCAGCAGGGAGTCTGCTTCTCCCTCTGACCCTCCCCCCTCTTATGTGCTCTCTCTCTCTCTCTCATTCTCTCTCAAATAAATAAAATCTTTAAAAAAAAATAAAAAATAAGAGACAGTATCCAGGGGCGCCTGGGTGGCTCAGTCGGTTAGGCGTCTGCCTTCGGCTCAGGTCATGATCCCAGGGTCCTGGGATGGAGCCCCGTACCGGGCTCCCCACTTAGCTGGGAGTCTGCTTCTCGCTCTCCCTCTGTGTGCTCGCCCTCGCGCTCCTCTCTCTCTCTCTCTCTCTCTCAAATAAACAAATAAATCTTAAAAAAAATTTTTTAAGTGTCCCTACGGATCTTTTTATAATCTAATAAAGTAGGCCAGTAGATAATTGGAAAATGGCCAAGGACACAAATGACAATCATCATCCCACCACAATCCTATTGGGCCACCCACTCCACCTCCATCATTGCCAACGACCCTCCTCCCTAGCCTGTTCTAGCTCCTCAGTTTTACCAGATGACCAACTACAGATGCATTCTATACTACTCTGCTATCCCAAGTATAGAGGCTGTGCCTTCTTTATTTTACTTTTATTTAAAGATTTTATTTATTTCTTTATTTATTAAAGAGCGAGAGCATGCACAAGTTGGGAGGGGCAGACGGAGACGGAGAGGGAGAGGGAGAAGCCGACTTCCCACCGTGCAGGGAGCCTGACTCAGGGCTCGATCCCAGAACCTCGAGATCATGACCCGAGCTGAAGTCAGACGCTTCACTGATGGAACCACCCAGGCACCTCTGTGCCTTCTTTATTTTTATTATCTCTCTTTTGATGGTCACCCTCTACAAACTATCACACAAACTCTGTATCACACTACCCATCTCTGCGCATCCTAGGACAGCCATAAGTCATTTTTAAGTGTCTGCAAAGAGCCATTTCTCATACGTCAATTTCTGGAACTTCTAAACAATTTAAGCTATTTTGTAAGGAAATCTTTCTAAGACATATACATTTCTCTGATTTAAAAAATAGAACAAGTCATTCTGCCCTTTCTTTTCCGATGCATCAGATGTAGTTATTAATTCTGGTATATGGTGTTACAACACAGGGACGCCCTCTTGAGTTACTAAGGGGGACAGAGCCATTTACTCCTATACTAATGGTCTATACACAGCATGAAAGAAAAATGTTGTGTTTGTGTCTTACAGATCATTTCCTCTCTCATTCTCCACCTAAAACTGCTAATTTTCTTCTTGCTGCCCACCCCTAGCGTCTCTTTACTCCCACTCCACACTTGCTGGGCTGAGGAAAAAAAAAACAACCACTGTTTTGAAATAAGACTAAATGATTCTGAGAAGCTCCCAAGAAAAAACATACACAATCTTCAGTACAAGAATTTTATGACAACAACTTAGGCTACTCATAACACAGTTGTTCACTCTTTCCAATTCCAAGTTATCTTTCAGAAAGCGAATCTTTCCAGATATGTGAACTGCAGTTATGCATGTAAAAGGTGTCAAATAAATAGTATGGAGTTACTGGTAAAAATATATTTGACTTAAAGCAAATGGAATAAAATCAATAGACAAAAATTGCATCCGTATTTTTCTTGAGTGTGCATTTTTATTGCTTGATAAAGCCATAAAACCTATTTGCAGGGTGCCTGGGTGGCTCAGATGGTTAAGCGTCTGCCTTCGGCTCAGGTCATGATCCCGGGGTCCTGGGATCGAGTCCTGCATCGGGCTCCCTGCTCCTTGGGAGCCTGCTTCTCCCTCTGCTTCTCTCTCTCTCTCTCTCTCTCTCCCTCTCTCTCTCTCTCTTCCTCTGTCTCTCATGAATAAATAAATAAAATCTTTAAAAAAAAATTAAAAAAAACCTATTTGCAACATTCATAGATAGTTGTGCATATTTTAATGGCACTGAGTTACTTTTATATTTGTTATTTTTTTTCTATTTTGTAATAAAGTCTCAGTACTGATTTGATTATTCAGCTACTTTTTAAAAGATTTATTTATGGGGGCGCCTGGGTGGCTCAGTCGGTTAAGCGGCTGCCTTTGGCTCAGGTCATGATCCCAGGGTCCTGGGATCGAGCCCC